TTGTATACAGCTCCACCTGCACGGCCATAAGTGAGGGTCCTGAAAAAAGAAGAAAGCAATCAGCAGGCTTCCAGTTTTGCACTAGCCAGCCACCTCACACCATCACTTCTGGCCAGGTACTAACCTATTCTGAATCAAAATTCCTCCTTTTTTCCTGAGGGACCAAAGGGGTACTTTTTCTTAGTTTTTGTTTTTGGGTTTTTGTTTGGGTTTTTTGTTTATTTTTAATCACCTTTCTCCCAGTCCTCAAAGTGGAACAGTCTAACTTGGGTATTATGGAACAGAAGGGTACACTAGAGTGTGGGCAGGCAGGCAGACAGGCAGAGAAATAACCACTCTGATTTTGCTTTGAATTCTATTTGAAGTCCCGTAATGATGGATCTCACCCCAGTACAGTATGTTTTGGAAATATACTTAAAAGGGATATGTGGTTGTTTTTAGGTACATTTTAAATGTTAACTAATAAAAGGCAAATATCATAACAGAACTGTTTAATATCATATTTTTAAAACCTTTTAGTATTCTAAGGCATCTGTGACCTCCTAAAATCTAATTATTTCTCCCACACCCTCTGGAATTGTTCAGAAAGATGCGGTACAGTTTCGAACTGGTGCATTAAGCATCTGGCCTGACTTCACAGAATTACAGATAGCTGAGTGTGCACTCTCCACATATTTTATTAACATCTCATAGGCTCATGCTAAGATGTAGTACTGATGAGCCCTGACATGCATCACTACCTGTTGACAGAAGAAAACTGGGCTAGACTTGAGAGGGTCTACAAATAGAAAATATTTTAAAGATGTTTTTGGCAATTTTAACAGAAACTCTGGCTTAAAAAAAAAATAACAGGCAAAGAAAGAAGAGAAAAAGAGCAGCTTCAAGTTCATAAATTTATAAAACGTGCCCAAGTTTCAGCATGCCCAATCCTCTGAAAATGAGCTAATCTCCAGCATCTTTTCCTTCCTTCTCAAACTAACAGTGCCCCATTTTCCTTTGGGTCATGCCTTCTCTTCTATTCTCAGCCACTTGTTTGAATGGGGTTGACCTTATCTACAGCCCCCACAGTCGGCTTAAGCTCACTACCATAACTCCTCATCCTCATTTAATAGGTCCAGGAATGAGCACATGATCAAGTTTAAATAAATAAAAAAGAGAGAACCACAGGGCTCTGTGAAGGAGCTTCTGGAGGAGACCTCTTTCCTTGAACACTGTATCATGGGAATGTGATATGTGGAACTGCTACCATCTAAGAGGAAAGCCTGGAGCTATGAAGGATCGATTGTATATGAGGGGTCTCCAAAAAGTTCATGGGAAGATTCGTATTATCTTTTAATTCCATTTTTCCACAAACTTTTTGAAGTACTCTTGTGTAGCCTGAAGAGGCTGCCAGCACTGAAAAAGGCAGAACAGACAGCCAGAGAGAAACTGTATTATTTTCGACATATTTAAGTCACTGTATCAAGATTTACCTGAAGCCATACCATATGTTTGAACTTCTCAGTTACATGAGCCAATAGATTCCAATTATTGATTAGGCAGTAAGGCTTGGACTTTACAATCAAAAGATTCTCAACTGATAACAGCTCAAGACATTTAATATACCAAAATCCTGAGATGTTATTTTGTTTTTTCACACAAGTTTGAAGACTTTATTCTCATGAAGTATGCTGAGGGGAAGGGAAATCATCAAGAATGTCCCTTTCTAAGACTTAAAAAAACCTTAATACATTCCAAGATTAAATCTCAGAACATCATAGTTGGAGGTGGTTTGGGGATCATCTAGTTCTACTAGTTTCTTTTACAGGGTCAAATGAATATGTGTATGATGAATGAATGAATGAATGAATGAATGAATGAATGAATGAATGAGTGAATGAGGTAGCTTAAGTCTAGACAGGTTGGAAGACCTTGCAACTGAAAATTGGTTACTAGAAGAGATTTGGGTCTTTTGTTGTTGGTGATGATTTTTTGCCTAGATATACAAGGGTATTTCAAACAGTTCATGGAAAAATAGAACTGAAAGATATTATGAATCTTTTTTAAGTACCCTCATACAAGTAAATGGCAGAGCCTGGGTAACCTGGTTCTAACCTGATTCCAAATCCAGTCTTCTTGTTCTCTACCAGAGAACATCTCACACCTTTTCATAAAAACAGAAAAAACGCAAAGTCCTTTGATATAACAAGTTTAGACACTCTTAGAGTTTTGAAAGTGGGATATGTTATTGGAGTTCATATTCAAGCTAGTTGTCTTAAATTTGAAATGCACAATGTTAGATTAATAGGCTATCCTGCAAAACAAAACAAAATGCATAACAACAACAAACATTTTTTCAACCCAAAATATCTACTAGAACTTGACTAAGTTTTAAGTCTTGGGAACACGAGGCCATGGATGCATGAGGACAACAGAAAAAAAAATCAATAAAAAAAACTCCTATTCCCCCCCAACCACACCCCCATCTCCTGGCTACAGAACTACTTCAAAGGGAAATTTGAAAATTGTGAAAAATCTGGTTTTGGCCCTCTGCTACTTCCCTTTGTACACTGTTCTCCCACTTCTTAATTCATCTTTTCCCAAGGTGTTTGAATGCTCCCATCTTAATGATGGCAGTTGTGTCTACGGTCACGTGCAAATCCCAGATGGAGCCCAGGTATGCTAGACTCTGAAACTGCACTGGTTCCTCCACACTGAGCTGAGTCTTTCCTGCTGTGAGAATCCAGCTCCTCCCTTCCTACAACAGCCTAAAGGGCCTCATGCTGAAAACTGCCAGCCCTCCATCTCTTCAACCAGAACAGTCATCCACTTAATGTAGCTAATCTCCTTTAGGAAGCAAAGGAGGAAGACAACTTGAAATAACTCATGGTAACTCCTAACATTTCCAGAGGTGGTACATATTAGTTCACAAAGGTCGCATATTACTATAAGTTTACCTCCAAATAGCAGAATTTGGGGCAGCTGATAAGAGCAGGAAGTTAAAAAAAAAACTGGAGGCAGCAAAAGAGTAAATACTTTTGGATGGGGTATGATGATGGATTATAAACTCTATTAATAATAGAGTTTGCCTCTAAAGTAAGTACCTTCATATAGATTTTTCTCAATTTCTTGCCTTTTCTATATTTTAAGCCCCAGTTTAAAAGGAAAAAAAAATACATAATTAGCATTCAATAAATTCTTGCTGCCTTTATTTTGCCAAGTGATGAAACCAAAGCCCAGAGCAGTAATATGAAGTCATTATAACAAATAGTCCGAGAAAAGGAAACCTCAGCACTCCTAACTCCCAAGCCAGTACACTTTCTTTTAGATACCTATAACCCAAATTGTCCATTTATCTTTCTTTTCTGTTTAAGGCCTGTCTGAATGGAAACAAACTGATTAAATATGTATATAAACCCACAGGAATTTGGCCAGGCAAAAGTTTCCTTTTTAAACAGAAACAACTCCCAACTGAAAATGGCTTCTAGAAAGAATTATTTCATAAAATAATTTAATCCATGTGTTTATTTTGCAATAACAGAAAAGAATCCACACTTTTTAAAGAGATTATCTATTATCCCCACCTTCCTTTCCTCCAAAAATTCAGCAGCTCCATCTCAGTTTAAGTTGCACTACCTAATAGTTCTAAGCAATTGGTTTTCAATAGACATTAGAAGTCTAAAACTAGATTTGATGGGTATGTCCTCTGAGGCCTGCAAAATTGTAATCATAGAACAATAGAGGTCAATACATCTCTTATCAAGGGTTCACCTTCTACTTTGATATCGCCCATTCCTGGAGGGAACTCAGAAGATCAACTGCTATCAAACAACCATGTAAATAGACAAACTAAATAAAGCTAATGAAGAAACCATAATCAAATACTCCTGGGACAGACAATTAGCTGATCTCCCTCAGAAACAAACATTCAGAGAAGCTTTTTTAAAAAGGACAAAGGAGAAAGTCATGAACCTCTAAGAAAAAAAGCAAATAAAGATATTGGTTTAAGGAAATTAATCTTCAGGTAAATATAAAAGCAAAATTCTTCACTTAAAAAATGAAATGCACTTACTTACTGGAAAATTTATGGGCCCAAAGCAATTGTTGATTAAATAGCACAAACCAGTCTATGAAAATCATAACTGAAAGGTCTATATATCTGTTAATTAGTCTTAGAAATTTATAATCTCCATGTCTTGCAATTGTCTGGTGTTTATTCATGTACCTAAATTAAAATAATTTTAATCCAGGCAAAACCATTCCTGAAATACTTTCTTCTTAAGATGTTTACATCTGAACCCATGCTCAGAGCAGCAAAAACATATCAAAAGGAAAATATTCTATTTAATTCTTTTAATACTTTCTTATTGGGGGAGGTGGAGTCCTTAAATATGAATAATCTAATATCTACGTCCTAAAGAAGGTGAATAAATAGTAGAAGTATATGAAACATACTTTCATTTCCTAAAACATATACAGATCAGTAACTTACTCTTTACCTCCAAAAGAATGGACCGTTTACTTCAATTATTTTTTCTTTTCGCATTCCTGTTCCTCTTCCCTAAATGAATCAGTTATTTATTTGAACCTACTTCCTATTCATTTGTTGAATGAATATTCACAGGTAGGGTTTACTGGCTTTCATCTTTCACAATTATAACATTATTGTAAGTAATCAATAATAAAAACAATTTGATTTTCGTTAACTTCTTTTCAACACAGATGGCTTAGAAATAAAAAGAAACACGTGTTTTTCTATTGTAATCTTATAACTATCCTTCTAACATGCTCGTATTTTTTTTTTATAAGTATGCGACCACTACCTTGTAGTAAACTTTAGAAAATGTTGAGATTCAAAGGGCTGCCTACAAACCAAATGGCATTCTAGCTTTGGCAGGCTGAGTGCCTCATTTCGGCTTCTCTCACCCCCTCTAGCGTTTGCAAAGCTCATCTGCCTGATTATCCAGTTACCTCACTGAACAAGAGCGTGGCTCAGTCCTGCCCACTTATGACATCACCCCCTTCTTCAACCACTGCGAGGTGAAGCTTTAAACTTCAGACTTGGAGGTGGGCTGTGTGCAGTAAACTGGAATACTCCCGCTCGCTCGCTTCTCGGTGTAGGAGTGATCTGAAGCCGGACAAGCTCATTCTGCAGAGCCGCCGTTCGCTTTGTGTGGACTGGACGCAGAGCTTGGGACTGGGGGGAGGGTTATTACTCCAGTTCACAGTCATTGGAATTACAGCTGTAGCGGCAGTGTATATAGGATTGCTTTTTCTCGTCTTCCTGGTAAGTGTTTTCCATGTTTTTTTCTTATGATTGTCCCAGAAAGTTTGCTCGGTTTTACTCTCTAGAAAGAAATGACTTCTTACCATGAGGAATCGAAATAGGAACGTTTGCCCTGTCATTATTCCAAGCAATTTATGTGCGTGCAAGCCAGCAAGAAAAAAAAAAAATTGACTATAACAGGCAAAGGCAAGAAGTTTCTTAAAACCCTATTTCAGTTTTAAAAAATAATGACTATTTTCTGTCTCAAATAATTGCTATTTGAAAAAAAGCCTTATGGAAAACAGCAAGTTGGAAAGTAACGTGTTAAATATTAAAAAATACAAGGCAGATTTTTCACAGGGAGGTGAAAGGTCTTGCTAACTTGGTGTGTACTATATGTGTGGTATGATCACCAATTGCTGTTTTTACAACTGTGAAAGAAAATCAATAATCCTTCAGCCCAATGAGTGCGCAGTACATGAAATTCATACATCTTGCTCACAGCTAACTGGGCTACTCCTGGAGACTTATGTGCCTCTGTAAAGAATTAACAGCTACACCTCGATTTTAAAGCTCGCAGTTCTATCCTGCCAGAGCTGCTTCAAGCATGTCAGGCTTGCAAATCTCAACCAGTAAATTAAATTCAGAGGAAGGGGAGACTCTCTTCCAAACCATATTCCCTCTCCAGTAGAACGCCAAAATCCATTGCATGGCCAAGTGCAGTATGTGACTAGCATAGCAAATGGCTAAGTCTACTCAGAAAAACTAACAAAGCCCATCCTGATATATGCAGCAAGTTTGGGGTGGCAGGGCAAAAAACACATACATGTAGAGCCCTCATCAAGTGGAATATGCAGAGTCTCCATTTACTTGCAATTTATAATAGGAAAATCTTAAATTTAAAGAAATGCTTTTATACTCCAAAGCTTTCAAAAAGTAGTTGAATGTATCTTCTCAAAAATTTTTTTTTAGTGAATTAGATATGAAACAAAATGGTTGCACAGAGGTAAAGAGTGCAACAGGCCCATATTTTCTCAACATCTGGGGGGGTCTGTATTTATTTATTTGTTTAGAATTAAAAAGAAAGAAAACCTTGATATTTTTCAGTTATGGAACCAAATTCTCTAATGGTTTTAATAAATAGCTATTTTAAATTTTCTTAAGAAATCTATTTGCTTTAAATTGCACATGTAGATCATGTAGATTATTTTATTAGCCTGATACGACATGAATAAAGCCAATAGAAAAGTACTTCAGCTATAGCAACACCTTTCATTAATCCCTAACTGCATAAGAATATCCTGACCAGCATAAACATAATTAATTTGTCTTTTTTCAGATAGAAACACTTATGCCTGACCCAAGGTGACATATGATTGATATTCATCTCTTTTGAAATGAGTAAAGAAAGAAATTAATCCTTTAAAAGTACCACAGTAATATTAATATTGCTACCACTAAAAATATTAATAATATGTCAGGTTTTAATTATGAGAAGACTAAATCAGAGATATGCCACTTTAGTTAAATCAAACATGTGTGTATGGACATACATATACACACACATATTCACATTTATTTATTAGCCTGAAATAAACAGAGTTACAAAAGCATGACTGCATATATTTAACTAAGAAAATTACAGTTTAATTTTTTAAGAATAGAGCATGAGCAAAACACATCAAAGGTACTAGTGAATGAATAAATATAATGAATTCATGAATATTATGTTCCTGTATTATTATCTGTCAGTTATTAATCAGGCTTTCACTGTATCCCATCCCGTTTAAATCAATTATGGTTAGGTTTAAAATGCCCAATTAAACAGTTCCTAAACATAGGTTTGTGAAATACATAAAGGGGCAGCAAATAAAGTTTTTACAAAAATAAGAAAAACAGTAAGAAAATTTGTCATAACTAAATGTGGCAGCAAAATAGAAGGTATGTTTCTTTTGCTTTCAAATGTTAATTAAGGAGCCTCCAATTCTATCAAAACTTTTTTCAGAGATAAATGAAGCGGTGTGAAATAAATTTAGTTGAAATCTTGTGGCTGTCAGACTTTGTTAACAAGCTATTAATTATCTTTACCCCAGTTTCTTCTCTAGACTATATTGCCCAATCAAATAGAAACTCCAATTATGCTCAGCATATCCTGCCTAGGGACACAAGACCCTAATGAACACTCAGTCTCTCCAGAGGAAAACTACAATAATCAGCTTTAAACATGCAAGTGCACTGCAGAGAAAATTTTCTGTGCTTTTCTTGGCCACACGTCCTAAGGCTTCCCCCTCTTTCTGGATTATTTTGAACAATTTTAAGCCCTACAAAAATCAGTAGCAGAGAATTTGCCGTGTCTTAATATTATAGGAATGTTTCTTCTTTCTTGCTTTTTACTTTTGATATGTCAATGCAGTGTTCATACCAATATTAAATTAAAAATGTTCATTAAAAAAATATTTAGAGTTGCCATTTCAGTCAATGCTCAACTTTTCCCCCCTTTTTTAAGGTGGGTGGGCTACATAACAAAGAATGTAATTAATGGCAAGATCCAGAGCTAATTTAAAAATTCTGAATAACCCCCCCTTATATATTCTATTATCCAACCCAATTTATTTAAAAAGCATTATAAACAATTGTTTAAAGTAAAATGAAGACCACCATAAATGAAGTCAATGGGGAAAATAAGATTCAGTAAATTTTTCAAAGGCTGTAATTTCTCCCCTCCTTTTTCCCTCATTCCCCCCTCCCCCACCC